TATTTTCGAAACAAATGTCCTCAAAATGATGCAGCTCTCTACGAAAATAAACCTCTTCATTACTACAAATTAGGAGCTGAATTGATCTTTCCTGATAAATGGTGTGACCAAGGTTCAGGTGGGCAAGCTCATGTAATAATATACCATTATTTAATGGGTAATTATAAAGCATTGAAAAAGGAACTTCTAAAGTTTGAACCCTTACTCGTTGAAAATATAGACAACGACTATTTGATGAATAGACTGATTAGTATAGGCTTTAATTCAAGATCATATCTAATGATGGATGCCTGGGCCATGGATGAAAAGTTCCAGCAATTTGCCAAATCTTTATTGTGGTTTCGCATGAACCCTATCACTCTTGTCTTTTATATAAAGGCCAAGGTATCACTTAAAGATGGGGATCTAGAAAATGCATTTGCGATTGTGAAGGAAATGAAGGCGCGTTTGAAGAAAATGTTTTGCAGACTTTTACGTGATGTCACAAAGTCATTGATTGAAATTATAGAAATAGAAACACTAGAGGTAACGAGAATGCTATACTTTCCCAAGAAGAAAATTGTAGTTGACCTGATAGGATCTAATAATTACAACAGAGCAATTACAACAGTCGATCGTGCGTCAATAGTTAATTGAGTGGAGTTGAATACCGGTAGCTTGGCGGCTAAGATGCTTACCCTCCAATCCAAGGAGCCTGTGTTCAATTCTTATCACGGTAACAGATTTCTTCTCAAGACTCATAATGAGACTATGTTTATGTAGAGCAATGTTCCGCAAGCTTTTAGGACTGGATCCCATAAACTGTTCAGGCATTTAACCGCGTCCCACCTACCGACTGCCAACCAATCGGGTAGATACAATATATCAAAGACTAAGTTGAAAACTCCACCTTCTTTTAGCACGGTGGTGGCGCCATGCTTTGTCCGACGGGGGTGGGGGTCCGATGTGCCCGACGGGAGCGTAAGTGGGTGGGGTCAGGGTTGCCAAAACCTCTTAGAGGTCCCATCCAGGTTCGCAGCCCCCAGAGGCTTCGACAACTTAGCGATTCTAAAGGCTTATTTAATCTTGTCTCATGTATTCTGTAAAAGTGACATAATTTTGTTTTCTCACGATGAAATGTGCTTTTCTCACCGGCAGGGGCTGGCTCTATCGGAAAGGAGACCACTTTTTTACAGTACAGTATGGTAGTCTAAAAGTGCTGCCTCTTTATTACTTGTTTAAGTTAAATCTTAAACGCATAAGACGTTCTTAGCGAAATCGAGTCATGAAGAATAGTATTTTATGATATTTTATTATTGCGCTTCTGGTGTTTGTATGTAAGGTACAATGAGATACAAACGAAAGAGATGTCTTTCAAACTGTTATCTTAATAAAATTCACTCGAGAAAGTGAATGGATGGTTTTATTTCTCAAGTCAACACACTTGACATAATATTAAACGTTAATACATTTGGCAAATTTAGCAAGGTGTGGAGAAGTACCGCATAATCTTCTAGCTTACAAAGAAACACAGCCCAGCGGGCGCTGCAACAAGGCTAGCAACGCAACAAAGTTTTTCACTCGATCCATGTGCTTGTGGCGTCAAGTAAATACACCCCTGTACAGAATAACCCGACAACCAGGGTTTCACAACTTTTTAAAAGAAGAGCGCTGATTGGCTGTAGACACGGCGCTTGGACTTTTTTTTGTATGCAATACTATTGTTCTACGCCTGCATTTATGAAATAAATAATAAATTTAAAAAGAAAATGTGGGTGTCATGTGTCTTATTTTATGGGGGAAATAATGAAATGGTAGATTAACGTTAGTTAGATTTGATAAATAAAATCCATTCACATAATTAGGGAGTTCACGTCGATCCATGGTTGAAAGTAGGGGGGACGAAATGAAAAACAAAGTCTACGGCCCAAGCCTAGGTTGCGTACCAGGGGGCGAAGCCCCCGAGAAGCTCTGGTGCCTATAGCCTTTTAATAGATTTTAAGCAATGCAATTAACATTTATTTCCATTCGAAATTTTTGAAATATCCAGTGGCGGATCCAGTAATTTGAAAGAGTTGGGCCCAGAGAGGGACTTTTACAGATGGAGAGTGTAGACCACCTCTGCCCCACCATGGTTGGGGCTGAGGTAAGAAAATTTATAATTATGGCACATCTAGTTGGTCGGAAATGGCACTCTCAAACTAAATTTGAATCTAATTCGTTTAAAAAAAAAATTGGTTCGTGTGGGAATCGAACCCACAACCTCCAGGTTTGCTATTTATGATTCACCATCAACTGAACTGCCCTTTGAAAAAAAAATTGGCCCGTGTGGGAATCGAACCCACGACCTCCGGGTTTACTACCCCTGATCACAATGACTAAACGGAGAGAAGAAGCACCGCGACCCCTAAGCCATAAATGCGATGAACCTAGATAACAAGTACCAGTTAGTCAACTCTGAGACTACTAGAAAAAATTATTCGTATATATACAGCTGCTGGTTAATATTACACATGGTCATGTTGTCAAAAGTATAGGCCGTGGTCCAACAGGGTTTGTTTTCGCTTTCTGTTGTACAGGAAATGTAGAATTAAATTTATAATCGATTTTTGATTGTTCCCATCTCCATAACTTACACACTTTTTTTAAATAGACAAAAATGTTATTTTTAAGAAAAAGGGGACCATGAACAATTATCAAATTATAGACCCACTTCACTGCTTTCTGTTTTTTTCTAAAATCATTGAAAAAATAATGTACACCAGACCTAATAATGATTATTATTATTATTATTATTATTATTATTATTATTATTATTAATAATAATAATAATAATAATAATAATAATAATAATAATTAGGTGTCAAAAATGATGTACTTAAACATGGTCTGATAGATACTAGAAGTCGAGCTCATAAAGTACAATATTATCATTAAATAGGTAATTATAAAATATTGAAAAAACTTGTAGAATGAAAACCCGTACTCGTACTTTTTCATGAATTCAGTTTATAGTTTAAAGCCCCATTCCTGGCAAAATTTCAATTTTTAAGAAAAATTTAATTTTTGTATAATGTTATAAAGATTTATAAATATAATACGGAATTGCTAGTTTAACTGAAATTAGACAAGAATGAAAAAAATGTAAAATAAGACTGAAATTTGATTTTTTTGTGTTCCACACAAAAAATAAATGCGGATGAATTTTTCATGTTGATTTTGCGATAGGTCGTGAGAAGAAATATCGTAGGCGCCGAAAACATTAGCCTATCCAACGCTGCTGGCTAGGCCTAGCCTTACCTCGATTTAGGTTCTGTTATCACACATAAAATCGGCCGACATGATATTTTCCGTTGCTAGTATTGACACTTGTGAAATATAATATTTCATAGGAATTACTTCAATTTTGTTAAAAAACTGATTCTGACTGAGATTTTGACACTTAAACAAACATATCTCAGCCTAACCGAACGATAAATGAAAAGTTGCTTTAAAAATATTGGACACCTTGAGTTACTTGATTTTAAATTGATAGAAATTGATACTAAGGCTAACAGGAATGTTATACTGCTCAAATGCTTTGACACCACTTGAGAAACCCGCCCTTGTATTATATTTTATATCCAACAAAACAATGACTGCGAATATGAATTTTAGGCATACACCGTCAATTTATACACAACTATAATCATAATTTTGTTTTAATTTATTTTATTAAGTTAAGCAATATTGAGGTTTCACTAGTATTGTTGCTACAGGCTATAGGACTGTTCTATTTGAATTACATAACTTTTGTCCAGTCTGTACAACATAATTTGTTTTTTATAACACACAGAAATCGTATTCATTGTACAGTGTTCTAATATTACTTAACCACTAGTTACAAGGAACACTTGCTCATTGATGGGATTGAAAATGTAAATATTAAATGTAAAACGAATTTGTAACTATTTGTGAAATCTTTTTTTCGCAGTTGTTTTCAAATGTACTGAGTATTCGGTACATTTCCACGTCAGGTAGGGCAAAATTACACCTATACATGTTTCTCCTGACGCAAATCCAGTTACTGTCTATTCCATCACGACAATAACAATTAGTACTATTTGTGAATGTGTTATCGCATTTGAAAGGAGCGTCACTCATGTGTTCAGCTCATAACCAAATACTATAAGATAATAATAGGTCTACATTTGAGAGGGGCGCTTATTACTGGAGTAGGCCTAATAAACTGGTCCAATTTGTTGTACAAAGGCCTATCTGACTTGTTGCAACGTTTAATAATCCGTTAATACAGTTCAGATGATATTTGCAAATCTTTTTTATCTTGACGTTTACAATGCAATATAACAAATGCTTTACAGCTAACAGATCATCACTGAATTACGAAATGTACACCAACTTTATATTTTTTTTTTTGAAACCAGTAGGTATAATATAAGTAAAATTAAAAACAGTTTCTTATTCATATCTGTATAATACGTAGAGTTAGGATTTGCGATCTTCAAATGGTTGTATAATTTGCATTGCCTATTTGTAGGCTTAATCCCTGTAAACATACGATTGATAGTAATTCTCTTATTCAATAAAAGTCAATCAGTAGCGGTTACAAGGAAGTGGTGGGGCAGCTGGTCCGTTCCCCCACTCCCCCCCCCCCTAAATTGATAAAACTTTTTAAAAAATGGAGATATAAACAAATTATATTCAAATTCTGGTAGTGGAAGATATTCGAAGTCTGGAAGTGCTATTTCCGGCCATCTACAGATACCATAATCACAAATTTTCTTACCTCAGCCCCAACCATGATAGTGGGGCTGAGGTGGTATAGATCCTCCATTTATTAAAGTACCTCCCCAGCCACCTCTATTTTGAATTCCTGAATCCGCCACTGTCGCCATAAATACTTAACACACATACGGCCATCGGCGCAGTTCAAAACAACGAACTGGCTTATTTTACAAGGTAAAATTAAAAAACATTAGGCCTATTATACATTAGTCAGCGATTTTTTTTTTCTTTAAGGAATGACCAGCCAGGCGAATTTACTTATGCCAGAGGTTTATGAGAAGGATGAGAATGATGCCAAATTATGTCAAAATGAAGGAAAACTTATGGTAGATCATTATGCCAAATTTGGATGAAGCAGACACAGATACAAAAAAAATTAAATACAGAATGGAGAGGGAATATTATCTTGTGATTTCCTCCAACACAAGCCATCTGGTAACAACTCGCTAAGAATTTAGATACCAACAAGCTAATCTTCTTTTCCCCGACAATGTTTTCAATTTCCAAGATGAGGGGATGATAATTCGATTGCCGCAAAAACAAAATAAACAAGCAACAAGTTTTATGGGTGTTTAATTGGTGCAGCCGAACAATGGCCAAACCATCGGTAGCAAATCATGCCTCAAGTTGCTTTTTGGGTCATGGGCTCTAAAACATTCTCAACTTTGCATTATAACACTCATTATATCTTTCGTTGAAAAACTATGTTTGATACGATTTATTACATCATGTTCTTGAGTTTTTCAGTTTATTTATTTGACCAAAAGATGGTCGGGGGCAGCTTAAGCAAACAAATCACTATAACTATTTCAAGCCAGCTGCCCCCTTGAGTACTGAATTATTATCTACTGTATTTCATTTATACATTATATTGTTTGTTCCCAGTAGCAGCCTGATTTGAATATTATTTCGTATGATTTACCAGCTGCAACCCCAGCTATTATTTAGCTGAACAAAATTCGCTCCGCTTTGTGTGAGCCCACACGTTTTATAGAGGAAGAGTGGTCTTCGATTCGTAATGCTAATGCACGAGCGTTCCACTATAAAGAACAGAAGGAAGGTCAATTCCCACCATTTAATTTCTTTTCTAAGTTTGTCACAGACTTTGGAAAAGAACGAAACGACAAAAGTCTTATGCTGTCTACCCACGAGGTAGAATCGAAAACACATGTTAACCCAAGAAGGCTGAGTGGTCCTGCCAGATCTCCATATCGCACTAACGTTCTGACAAAATTGACTGGTGTTGCCAAGGCTCATGACAATCCGGCATCAGATGGTATAGACATAGATACCAAATGTCCTATACACAGGACTCCTCATCCACTGACTGATTGCAGAGCGTTCCTTAAGATGCCGATGGAGGAAAAACGTTCACTGTTGAGGGATGCAAAGATTTGTTATCGGTGTGTGGCATCCACAGCCCATATTGCAAGAAACTGTAAAGCTACGGTTTCGTGTTCAATCTGTGGTAGTAATCGGCACAAATATTTCCTCCACGTTGGCACACATGCCGACGAAGCGCATGGCGGGGAGCGAAGACCGGTATTATCGAAATGCACCCAGGTTTGCCGCAACAATCCATATGGAAGATCTTGCTCCAAAATATGTTTGGCACGAGTATATATCGACGGCAATCCTGCAAACGTGATTACCACTTATGCCGTCCTAGATGATCAAAGTAACAAGTCCCTGGCCAAATCCAAGCTGTTCGACCTGTTGAAGGTTAAAAGTGAATCGATGTCATACACGCTTAAGACATGTTCCGGGGTGGTGAACACAGCCGGTCGTTGTATTACAAGACTTATTATAGAATCCGTCGACGGTCAAGTATCCATACCTGCTCCACCCTTAATTGAATGTAGTGCGATTCCCGATTGTAAGGAGGAGATACCTACTCCAGAAGTAGCAGAACATCATCCGCATCTGAAGTCAATTGCGAAGGAAATTCCGAAAATTGACCCAGACGCAGATATACTAATACTCCTGGGGCGAGATGCACCACAAGTCCATAAAGTCCGTGAAGTTCGCAACGGACATAACAATTCACCATGGGGACATCGACTAGACTTAGGCTGGGTGGTGATCGGAGAAGTTTGCATAGGAAAAGCGAACCATAGTAACACTGTCAATATATTCCGTACCCATGTCCTGCCGAACGGACGTCCTTCCTGTTTCGAGTCATGTACAAACCATTTCGACATTTCACACCCAGCCCACCCACCAGATCCAGAAACGCACTATGCTGGTAGACGATGGCCTAACCCGGGGGAGGACGTTTTTCGTGTGTCCAAGTTTGATAACAAAGTCGGTAGCTCCATAGAAGATAGACAGTACTTAAAGATCATAGCATCCGAGTTCTCAAAAAGTGAGACTGGGAATTGGGTCGCTCCACTCCCATTCCGCATGTCCAGGACACCGTTACCTAACAACCGTCACGATGCGATGAAACGATTTCATTCCCTACTTAAGTCTTTCTCAAGAAAGTCAAAGATGAAAGACCAGTATCTACAGTTCATGACAACCATGATTGCTAAGGGTCACGCGGAACAAGTAGTTTCCGACGGTGATGGAGAGCGATGGTATTTCCTCACTACCTTAGATTCCTATGGTTCGAGAATGACAATCCGGATGTAGCAATCGTGGATTATAGAATGAAAGTCCATACATTCGGTAATGCACCATCACCAGCTGTCGCAACATTTGGCTTGCGCAAGACTGCCCAGGATGCTGAAGACAAGTTTGGCAAAGACGCCCGAGAATTCGTGAACCGTAACTTCTACGTTGACGACGGTCTAAAAGCTCTCCCCACTCCAGACAAAGCTATTGACCTGCTACAACGCACTCAGGCAATGTTAGCAACTGCAAATTTGCGTCTTCACAAAATTGCCTCCAACAATGTCGAAGTAATGGGAGCCTTTTTCAGCGAAGACCACGCAGGAGACCTGCGTGACCTAGATCTCAACGTACAAGCACCTCCAATCCAAAGGTCTTTAGGAGTATATTGGGACCTAAAGCGTGACGTGTTCACATTCAGAATTGGAGAAGAAGAGAGACCTTTCACCAAACGAGGAGTGTTAGCCGAAATAAACAGCATCTACGATCCTATTGGTATTGCTGCTCCAGTCCTAATTCAGGGGAAACTGCTGTCTCTTATACACATCTAGATGTGTATAAGAGACAGGAGTAGAGCGTATACTCAACACCACACAATCAGTACAGTGGCGTTATATACAGTCAGACAAGAATCCAGCCGACCTGCCTTCTAGAGGTATTACCTCGTCTGGACTAGCGTCTTCTGAATGGCTAAAAGGCCCTGAATTTCTCCGTAACAAAGGCGCTACAGCAGATATTCAACCAACCGAATTTCCAATCCAAGAAGAAGACCCCGAAGTTAGACCCGTGGTTAAGACTTATTCTACAAAATTGCAGCCAAGCTCGGGACTCGGAGCCGAGAGGTTTCACATGTTCTCTGATTGGTTCAAACTCTTACGAGCAATAAATAACCTACTCCATATAACACGTTCATTCGGCAACAAGCCAACACAACCTAAAAGCTTAAAGGTTGGCATATTTGCACGTCATCAACCACACCAGACGACTTAGCTGAGGCAAGTCAAATTGTTATACGCACTACCCAGTATACTGTGTTCAAAGCAGAATTGGACCTGTTAGAAAGCCGACGACCACTTCCAAAGGCGAGTCCACTCATTAAGCTAGATCCATATATAGATGACAAAGGGTTTCTTCGTGTCGGTGGGCGCCTCAGTAATGCTGGAATTGGAGAACGTGCTGCTCATCCTATAATTATTCCAGGATCCCACTATGTATCTGACTTATTAATCCGTTATTATCACGCACAAGTTAAGCATCAAGGGAGACACCTCACACGTGGAGCAATCAGAAGTGCAGGATATTGGATTGTTGGAGAGAAGAGTAGAGTTATCAGTATTATCGACAAGTGCGTTAGATGTAGAAAGTGCAGAGGCAAAGAACAGATTCAAAAGATGGCAGATCTACCTGTCGAGCGGCTTTCCCCTGCACCCCCATTTAGATATGTAGACCTCGACGTATTCGGGCCCTGGGTCGTGTCCACACGCAAAACCAGAGGAGGTCAAGCACGAGGCAAAAGATGGGCTGTCCTATTCACATGTATGTCATGCCGTCCTATTGACATTGAGGTTACAGAATCCATAGAAGCGTCAAGTTTTATCAATGCATTGCGAAGATTTCTAGCCATACGGGGAACGGCAAAACAAATTCGTTCTGACTGTGGGACGAACTTCGTCGGCGCCTGTAACGAGATTGGAATACCTTTGGACGTTACTGACCAGAAGATCAGGAAGTACCTCCTTAAAAATAATAATTGTCAATGAATTTTCAATCCTCCCCATTCATCTCATATGGGGGGAACATGGGAAAGGATGATAGGCATATCTAGGCGCATCCTAGACAATATGTTTGCTGAATTGGGTCCGATTCAACTAACCCATGAAGTTCTAACTACCCTTATGGCCGAGGTGACAGCAATCGTGAAATCCAGACCACTTACACCAGTTCCGAATGATCCTCAATCACCAGACGTTTTGACACCAAATATGATTTTAACACAAAAAACACAACTCGCAGGGGCTCCTACTGGCAACTACACCAAGAACGATTTATTTGGGAAACAATGGAGAAGGGTTCAATACCAGCTGACACCTTTTGGTCAAGATGGAAAAACGAATACCTTCCACTCCTACAAGAAAGAAGAAAGTGGCACCGTGTCAACCGCTGCATGAAGGAAGGAGACCTCGTCTTAATTAAAGAGAAGGAGATCCGTCGAAACAACTGGCCAATGGGTAGAGTCACAAAGGCTATCGAGAGTAGCGACAAGTTGGTGCGCAAAGTGGATATAAAAGTTTGCAAGGATGGTTCTTCTACCAAGATACTTTCTCGACCAGTGCATGAACTGATCCTGCTCATCCTCGTTGAAGACATGTGTTAGATATTGTCCCAATATGAATCTATTAGGCCTTTATCTTATTATTTTCGTAATTTTGGAAATGCAGAACTTTTTATGTCTTAAAGAGTTTAACTTAAATATTTTTAGTACTGTTTAAGATTTCGCCTTTAAAGTTTAATTGTTTAGAAGTAGTGGTATCCTCTGTATACCAGGCGGGGAGTGTGCTGTCTCCTATCTCAGTATAGTAGTACTATATTGGTTACTAGGCTACGTTGCTAACGCTTTATCTATGTTAATGTTCGTCTGCGGTATGCAGATGAGTCTTGGGCATATGTTCATGTAGATGCTGAGTTTAGAAATAGACGAGACAAAACATTGGTACTGTTGATAGTAGAGCTAGTACGAAGATGTATAATGCATAATGTAGCCTGCCACAAGAACAGTCTTTTTACCGCACGCACGCACAAACGCACGCATACATTTATGTCATTGTTGATTAAACGGACTCAGAAAGCCGTACTTGTGTCTGTTGAGTTGCATTGACTGATTGTTGGTTAACTAGCTGGATAGCGGTCCCGGACATCCTCCGACGTGAGGCCAGCATAATGTTTGATAGTGAATTGTTGAAAAAAAAATAGTAATTTTACATTTATGTTTATTAGTGTTAATATGCCTGTGTGCAAATTGATTTATATAAGGATAATATATATCTATATAGATTATAACCATTATGATCATCTTTATCAATACTGTAATTATAAATCTATTTGAAATAGCTTTTGCATATGTAAGCATTGTATAAATACGAAAAACAACGAAATAAAGGAGAATAAAGGTTGCACTCGAAAGGGAAAAAAAAACGATATGAAAACCTTCCGTTGATATGCGAGTTGTGATTTACTTAACATAATTTTAAATATTATTTTATAAAACAAAATAATTTTATATTGATTGTTTGTTCCTTTTTTTCAACTTTGTAAATATAACATCATGTAATTATCAAATGCTTTTTCAGAACCTTAGTTATAATGGTACTGAATAATTGTGACAATTGATATTATGATGATAATACAGTAAAACGATGGTATTGATGGATGTGATAATGATGTTGCAGAATCAGAAGGATGATAACAATGGAGAATGATGGTGATAATGATGATTAATGATGATGAAAATGACAATGGTGACCCTATAATAACAGTGGTGTAGAAAAGTATTTTTTTATTGGGGCGGGGGATGATTGGCGTGTCGGAAAGGAAAGGAAAGAAAAAGAAAAAGAGAAGAGAAAAATAAAGACAAGAATAAAAAGGAAAATATCATAATGACCAGACTCACAACCCTTCTAGCTCCACTTCAGAAATTGTTATAACTCCTTTGATCTATGCTACCCGATGGCGTAACAACTGGGGGACAAGGGGAAAATATCTATCTTTGAAAAATCTTCCCCACCCCTTTATAAATGCCATTTTTATCCCCTGAAAGTGCCTAAAACCCTCAAAAAATTCCACATTTTAGGGAGGTTTGATCAATTTCAACCAAATTAGAATTAAAAACACCGGGGGACAAGGGGAGAAAATCTTTCCCCACCGCTTGACAAATGCATCCTCTGAAAGTGCCTATAATTCCCAAATTCTTTGCGCGCATTTCTTGTTACGGTAGGCCAATTTCCTCTATAAATTGCACATTTTAAGGAGTTTTCATCAATTCCGACGAAATTAGAATTAAAAGCACAAAAATATTTTTTAGGGCATTTTTAGGTTTATCCTTTTAAGTTACCGTAATCAAAACACATAATAGTCCAAAACTCAATAAAGACAAATTTAAGATAGATCGTTTTAACCTAAAAGAAAGGCCTCAATGTGTATTGATGGTGAAAGAATATGTTTGTAATAAATAAAACCATGATGAAAATGCTTATATTTAGTTTCAAACACACGTGCATGGCCTATATTATAAATAGGATTTATTCTGAAATATAGTCGATCAATCAAAAAGGGTTGGCCAAAAAACTTCAATCGAAATAGAGTCGAAGAAGATAAATAAGTCGCAAATAATTATTGTTATGATTACTATGAGTTATTTTTTTCAGTATATTATTTATTATATTTTTTATTATTACTAAATATTATTAATCAAAAGACATTTACCTATATAACTATAACACAACATTTATTGACAAAAGAGATCGAAGATTTTGGTCCATCATGGAACCATTTTCAAGATCAAATGATTTTTTTAAAATAAAACAGAAACACCAATGAAGTGGCGTGTAATTAACATATCAATACTGTGTAAGCTACGTGTTTTATTGTATCTATACAATTTACTTATGCAGCTACTCTGATTTTCCTATAATAAACGCCACAGATTTTTCTGGAGTGTCTACCAAACTTATAACAACCGACCAATCAGAACGTGGTATTTAATAGTCAGTAACTTTCCGATATGAAATTTTACATTGTTAGTATTTTAGTTTCGACGAGAAGATGTACGCCTGTGTCTTAGACTGTTTGATCAAGTTTTAAGATTTATTATTTTTTTAGTGTGTGTTATTAGGTTACTAGGCCTATATAATATATAATGTATACATTTAATAATTTAATTAGAAATAATTATTTAAATTACTAATTGTAAAACAAATATAATATAATGTGAACAATAATATAGGCTAAGCTAGACCTAATCAATT